TGATATAACGCTCACAAAACTCCAAGTTGCAAGTTTTCACTCCTTTTAGCAATCCCTGATCTGATAAAGTTTTCAAGGATTTTCCTCCAGCATGTCCCAAGCGCATATGTCACAACTCGGTCATTTCTGCCTCCTTCTCGTCATTCAATGTTGTTGTCGTTGTCCCAATAACTGCACTACCTTGATAGTGGTACATGTTATTATTTCTTTGAATTGCCTTCATTACCACCAGTGCACCAGAGCATATTTTCATCACGTCATTATCTGCAATGACTTTGAACCCCTTTGACTCTAGGGCTCCTACAGAATTGAGATTTTTCTTCAAATATGGTACATATCGAACATCTGTTAATGTTCTACTTAATCCATCATGGTTCCTTAATCGGATCGAACCAACACCATATGTGGTAAGAGAGTTATTGTTTGCAGTGTGAATAACTCTACATTCTTCTTCTTGTAAATCAACAAACCAGTCTCGATTGGGACACATATGATAGCTACAAGCTGAGTCCATCAACCATACATCAGATGATTTGGATGAACCTGTTGTAACTAGTGAGTAATCGGAGTCATCACAATCAGCCACATTTGAATCCATGACAGTCTACCCATTATTTGGTTTGGCTTTGCTATTCAACTTTGGTAGTCTTTCTTCCAATGCTCTTTTTCTCTGGAAAAGGCACATTCATCTTTGCTGAATCTGGATCTTGACTTAGATCTCCCTTTCTTCGTTCTCGTATGATTTTGAGAACGACCTCTCGCAATCAGTGCTTCTGCTTCTCTGCCTTTTTGTTTTTCTCTCTTTCTTTGTTCATAATTATATAAGGCTGAACAAACTTCTTTGAGAGATACTTCATCATTCCCATGCAGTAGAGCCGTTTCAAGATGCTCGAACTCATCAGGAAGTGAACTTAAAAACATTAAGGTCATATCTCCATCAGTAAAAATCACGTCCATATTCTGTAAATTTGTTGTCAACTTATTAAAGATGGTGAAATGATCATTCATTGTGCTACTAGGAATATAAGTAAAGCGTAACACTCTTCTTTTCATGTAAAGTTTATTTTGACTGTTTTTCTTCAAGAATTTTTCCTCCAATGAATTTCATAATTTATTTGCAGATGTTTCCTTCGTGTATGGATACTTTTGTTCTCTTGTGAGGTGAGATTGATGGTACCGCAATCAACAAGGTTGATAATCTTCCAATCTTCTTCTCCTACACCTTCTGGTTTCTTTTCTTCTATAGCAATATCTATCCATTTGATGAAAAAGAACATCAAGGACCCCGCCTTGCCACATTCCGAAATGTGTTGATCTGTCAAAAATTTCAACTGCAAATTTCGCATTTGACACAATTATTGTCATAAGTGAAGATGTCAATGATGATGTATTACTGACACTCGATGTGGACTCATCATTTTTCTTGTCTCCTATTTGTACAACAAATACTATTTACTAGCTAACAATGCAGTGACCAAAGTAAATCCTTTTCTGATGTGAAAGTTCAGACTATGCTGCAACCACAGAGCTTACTCATACAATACCTTGGCTCTGATACCAATTGTTGCGGAAGCCGAATATATAGAGAGTGATGGAATCACAACTATTATATCTAAAGGTAACTAATAAATAGTAAATGAGACAGCAATAAAAAAAATAAGAATTAACGAGGTTCGGCAAACTTTTGTTTTCTTTTGCCTATTCCTGGAACACAACCAATCAATATTTATTTCACTCCAAAAGAGTACAAGCGAAATACTACAAGAGAGAAAGAAGAACAAATGTCTTAGGAGATGAGTAGGCAAGTTAGAAGTGTGTTATAAATGAATTAGGAGCTACCTATTTATATGAGTGAATTCTTCCTATTGATGTCATCCATGACATCATAATATGTCAAAATATCAAGATTTACCTTGTGAAATCAATTTATGGTTCACCAACAAAAAGATGTTATCTTGACTTTTGTACTAATGAAGAATTATCCTTCTAACTACCATATCTTCTCATAAATCCATTTTTGAATCTTGTCAAATTTAACATGAAGAACTCAGCCTCCAGGTTAAATGTGTACCCAAGTTTCCTTTGTTTCCCATCCCGGATGTTCATACTCTTTCTTTCGAGTTAGGTTTAATTAAATTCTGGAATTCAGTTGGATGGGAGAGGTATTATGTTTTCCCCTCAAATCTTAGGGAGCTGCACCTTTATGGCTTTCTGTTGACGGAAGAAATGGTTTAAAACATTGCAAGATTGGAGAAGCTTGAGAGTCTCAAATTAGCATTGGGAATTCCTTCGAGGAGATCACAGAGTTATTGTTGGGACGTCAGAAATGTCGAGTTCCCTGCACTCAAATACTTGACATTACTGAGTGTGCTAGTAGATGAGTGGAAGGCTTCAGAGGAATCCTTTCCAGTGCTTGGGGTGCTGGTTTTGAATTCCAGGAGATCCCCCCTAGCTTTGCGGATGTTCCAACTCTGCGACTTATTGAACTGTTTGACTGCACGGACTCTCTTAATATTTCAGCTATGAATATCAAAAAGAGAAATAGAAGAAAACACAGGATGTGACGCTCTCCAATTTGTTATAAAAATGAGTAGTTGTTGTTGTTGATCTTGTTGAACAATTAGATCATTCTGAATACCAATTGGATAAGATTCCAAAGCTCGAGTCCACCAATAAAACATATTGTTATGGTAAATGTCCTATGAGTCTTTTTTGTATGAGTATGGTTCGATATATTCAAGTTCGATTTCAGTATTTTACTTGGTAAATCGATAATTATGATTCGTTTAACTTCAACTAACATATATATACTCGTATAATAAAGTATTATGACTTCAACATTTAGGAAAAGGTCTCAATTGTATCATACTAACACATTACACATGTAAAAATATATATACAAATAAAGTACAAACAACTCTTTTTGTTAATCAATTACAATTCAAATATATTTCAATTAAAATAGAGTAGTCAAAGTTTTAACTTCTAAACATTTTAGTTTATACTAATACTAGGTTTCATGTTTATTAGTATTTTATTAATATAGTATGTTATTTATATAACTATATATACTTCAGTATGGTATTTGATATTTCAGTATGTTACATCTAAATATTAAATATCGTATCAAATACAAAAAAAAAATATATTGTGTACCACACCAAATATCATAATATCAGAATCATGGTATTAAAATATTTGATATATATCATACCATGCCTAGCCCTGGCAGAGAGTGACAATGGTAAAATTTTCCAGTCCTTGGTATCATATAGAGTAGTACAATACACTACTCTATTCCAAAAATATGCATTCCAAGTTACCAAGCAATTTTTTGGTTTTAGTTACTTTCCTATTCTTTTAAAAGAGAATAAAATTTGAGTTATTATCACGGTGTGGGGGTTGATTTGACTCCTACAATATCCAAAAAATTATGAATACCATAAAAAATAATTATCCAAGTGAAAATGATACATATTCAGTAATCCAGAGTTTAAAAGAAATTATTGATATCATAAAAGATAATGTTGATAATGAAATCATAGATGATATATACAATACCTTTAGAATTAGCTATGCGTAAGTAACACTTATCGTATTTACAACTTTTTTTAATATTATGTGCATTTCGAAAGACAATACTAGAACTTGTGGATGCAATAAGAAAAATTAGAGATAAACTTCAACTAGATTTAATGCTTAACAAAAAAAAATAAAACACAATCGTCTTAGATATATTTATACTTTGAATTATTAATTTATGATATTGATGGGAGCATATATTATATACGGATCTTCTAAAAATATATTTTATTATTATATTATCAAAACATGTGACTTTTTCCATTGGCTCGAGTTGGAACTGAAAAAAATATTATCATAAAAAGATTATTAAGTTATCGAATATTAATGGGAAAATACACAAGTACTCCCTATACTATGACAAAAATCTGAGAGACACACCTTAACTAAACTAAGGTCTTATTATCCCCTGAACTTTTTTTTTGTTTTGTAATTTTGTACACTTTTTGTCTTATGTGGCACACTCATGACTCCAAGGAATTGAGGCGCGTGAGAGATATTTGGATGTCACGTAAGCTAGTGCACAAAGTTACAAAAAAAAAAGTTTACGGAGATAATAGAACCTTAATTTAATTAAAATGTATCTCTGAAATTTCGATTATAGTCTAGGATGTACTTGTACATTTTTCGAATATTAATTTAGTGACATTTGTGAGTTTTTACTGTAGTTTAGTCATGACCTAAATTTGAATTAGAATGGTCCTGACTTCTGACTTAGGATTATTAATCATGCATGTGAATGTGCACATTACTCTTTAGATCTAGAATATATTATCTTAATTAAGTTGACTTTTTATTCTTAATTATTGCTTTAAGCAAAGTGTTACTATAATCCTTTAATCTAAGCGCCAGCAACAATAATTAATACAAATGTTATTTTAGTTATTTTTTCTATTATTATTATTATTATTATTATTATTATTATTATTATTATGTGCCCGTTCAATATTTATTTAAACTATTCACCATCAATTAAGTTCAATTTCTTTTGTTTGTATATTAGTAATAGTTGACCAATCAATCTGAGAGAGCCTTTATTTTGATTATATTTATTAGAAAAAATGCACAAGTACCTTTTTATACTATGATCAAAATTCAAAAGGCACACCTTAACTATTGTAAGGTTCTATTACTCTCTGTTTTTTTTCAAAAAAAAATTATGCACCTTTTTGGCTGATGTGACATTCAAATATCTCTCACGCGCCTTAATTGCGTGGAGTCATGGAGCGTTCTATGTAAGATAAAAGGTGTATAAATTTTTATTTTTTAAAAAAAGTTTGGGGATAACAAGACCTTAATTTAGTTAAGGTGTGTCTCTGAGATTTTAATCATAGTCTAGAGGGTACTTGTGCATTTTCCCTATTTATTATGTAGTTAATATTCACTCATATTATAAGATTAGGGTGTATTTAAATTCAGTTAATCATGTAGATGAGTGTTTTAAGGTTATCAATAGTTTGGAATGAAACTAATAATCTATGCTGAGTTTAGGAATGTTTTCAATAATTCTCTCTTTATTTATTTACTACTCCTTTTGTCCAACCATAGTTGTTCACTATTGACTTGACATACACCTTAATAAACAAATTAAATTTAATGCTTTCAGAAAAATATTAGATATTGAACACATTTAATAGCATAAAACAAATATAAAAGGATAAATATCTTTTGATTTTCTAAAATGGATAAGCATTATTGGAGAAGGAATAGTTGATATTCCCACACCAACTATATATTTGTATCATTCTTGAAGATTGAAGTCCACCATTATCTCCTATGATACAATTCTCTCTCATTTTATATTTCTGTCGTTACCATCACCTTTTGATCTCTCATCTGTTGCCACCCTCATCAACAACACAAGGTGAGAATCATTTTTAAGTTCTTTTTGTTGTTATTTTGCTACGTCTCTTCTGATCTTTTGTACAACAATATATAGTCACTTTTATATGCCTTCTTTATATATGTTGTGATTATGAGTTCCTTTTCTTTCCAAAATACACTGATTCACAATGATTATATATATTAAAGTATATTTGATCATACTTATCACCCTACTCTTAGAAAAAGAATCATATTTGACCTTTGTCATACTTTTTTGACATATTTTCTTTTACCATCCAACATTAAGTCAATAATTATCCTTCATCCGTTAAATCTTCATATTTCCACATAATGTTATCTATAAGGGGCCTATATGGATTTTGGTTTTACCTAATTAAATCTAAATATCATTTTAACCCACCCACATTGAATTGAACTCGACCAACTAACCACAAAAATGAACCTAAGACCAAGCCCTTAAACTATCATGGATTTGGGTTTATGCTTTTAAAGGAGAGATGGGTTAATGGAGTTGTACAGAGGAATGAAATTGTTAGATCTCCACCATCACCGAGAAACTGAGACATCGCCCCTGAACCATCGAATCAAATCCACCAAATAAGTATATCACCAAACTACACTAAATATTCTAGATATATAGAAGTTTTCGGAGACATTAAAATATTGGCCTAATCCATCGGTAGCTTCTTAAAGTTGGCACAAACTTTCACTTAAACACTCTAACTAGACTATTCATTTTAGACACTTTATTAAGGATCTATTGTGTCATTTAAATATTTTTTTTACAATCAGCAAAAAGATATAATGTGTTTGTTATGCACTCGCGAATGACGTGTAAAGTGTCCAATTAAATGACAATATTTGCCATTTGTGCCTAAAATCATTCTTAAATAATGATTTTGAGAAAAATTAAAATGTAACCAATGAATCAATGACATGTGGCATTTTGCCCACACAATTTAAAAGAAAACATTTAACCAAAAATATTTTGCAACCTTCTCATCATCTTCTCCAAAATAATAATTTAGCAGAAACACTGCCCTCCCCCCCTCCCCCCAAATCCATCACTTCTCAATCATACACCAACCCTTTTATTATAGAAGTATAAAGCTAAGTCATGCATTCACATTCTTCTTAATCAATAACAAAACACTAAAATTGAACAGAAATAATTAAAGTTAAGTGAAAAAAATAAGAAAGCACTTACAGTGGACTGTAAGTCTTAAGTAAAGTATGAAGGTAAGTGAAGAAAGAGGAAAAATCAAATCCACTTCCATAAGTAATTTCCTCCAAAAAAAAAAAAAAGAATTTCATGACTATTGCAACATTTAAATCTTCAAATAAGTCATTTCCTAAAATTTTAAAACATTCGTCATGGATGGAGTTGAGTTTGAAAATTGAAGGCTAAAAATGGGGAAGAAGAAAAAGAAAAAAAATTGATTAAAAAAGTTTTTCACGCGCAATAAACGAGTGGATCACACTCTCCATGACGTGTCTACAAAAAGTGTCAAAATGACAATGAAAACTTATGTCAGGTGACTAAAATGAACAAAGTCTAGTTAGAATGTCTAAGTGAAAATTTGTGTCAACTTAAAGGGTCCACTGATGGGTTAGATCTAAAATATTGGATTGAATGTTAAAATTTATTTTTAGTTTTAAAGCTGATTGTTGTCTGATGTAAAAGAGGAGGTATATAATTTTCTACCCAGAAAAATTTAAGAAGAATCAAATTAGGTTTATTTTGATTAGTGAATTTGGTTTAATGCGTGGAGTAGGTTAGAATTATTTAAATAATATTTTGATTTAATTAGAAGAAATAAAATTCAAGTAGGCGCTACATTAGTATTTGTATGTGGGAATATGAAGGTTTAAGTAATAAAGGGTAAATAGATGACAAAGATAAATGTATCAAAATATTCATGAAAAAGGGTAAACATATAATCCTTTTCTAAGAGTATTTTTAAGTTATGAAATAATGAAATGTAGTTTCCTTTCTTTTCCGAAATTAGGGTGACAAAGCAATTAATTGAAGGCATGGAAGTTGTTGAGACTTGTGGAAAAGGAACTCTTTCTGCTGGAGAACCTTCCACCAAACGTACTATTACATCCATTTATGATGATGATGAAGTTGTGGGCTTTGAGAATGATGCAGAAGTTATAATGATGAAATTGATACGAGGAACAAAGGAGCGAGATGTTATCTCCATCTATGGAATGCCTGGACTCGGTAAAACTACTTTGGCAAGGAAGGTGTACAACAATCCCTCTATTGCTAATTACTTTGATGTTAAAGCATGGTGTGCTGTGTCACAAGCATATAATAGGAGGACGTTATTGGTTGAGATTTTCAAACAAGCTACAGACGATGAGATCAAAATCAAAGAAGATGATGATGTAGCTGACATGTTGCGCAGGGTTCTAATTGGCAAGAGATACCTCATCGTATTAGATGATATTTGGGATGTCGAGGCATGGGAAGATTTGGGAATATGTTTTCCTTTAGGTGAATATGAAAGCAGAGTAATGGTCACAACACGAATTGAACAAGTGACTAAGCATCTTCAGCACCACAGTCATCCTTATTCTCTTAAATTTCTAACGTCCCAAGAGAGTTGGGAATTATTGGAGAAGAAGGTATTTCGAGGAGAGAGTTGTCCCCCCGATCTAGTGGAAGCAGGGTTACAAGTTGCCCTACACTGTAAGGGATTGCCTCTTGCGGTTGTCCTGATTGCTGGAATTATTGCAAAAATGAAAAGGGAGGCATCCTTGTGGGTCGAGGTTGCAAATGACTTAAGTTCTTTTGCTTTAGGAGAGCAGAGTATGAAGGTAATACAATCAAGTTACCACCATTTAGATGACCACTTAAAGCCTTGCCTTCTTTACATGGCATTGTTTCCAGAAGACCATAAGATCCCAGTGGACGATCTGCTCAAGTTGTGGATGGCTGAAGAGTTTGTATTGAATTCTGAAACAGAGAACATGGAGGAAGCATCTCGAAATTGCTTGTGTGGTTTGCTTAACAAAAGTCTAGTAATGATGTACGGAAGGAACGATAATCGTGATGTACGGTACTGCTCACTTCATGATGTAGTGCGTGAGTTCTGCTTGAGAAAACTCACAGAAGACAAGTACATGCAGCTCATAGTTCCATACAATCCATATCAACATTTGCATTCCACGGAATCACGGTTATGCATTTATATTCATGATGATTTTTTTAAACAATCAGATCATCCCGACTACCAGCTGGATAAGATTCCAATGCTCAATTTCAAGGAAACAAATTCTTTGGAGTTCATTGCTCATCCAAAACTGAATACATGGAATAACCAATATTGGAATCCTTTAGATTTGATTGTTAAATTAAGATTTGTTCGGGCGTTGCATTTGATGGATGTCGCATTGCCAGATTCATGGGCTACTGCAATTCAATCACTATCTGAGTTGAGGTACCTTGCAATTTGTGTCAGACAGTTTGAATTGGAGTGGATATCACACCTACACAATCTCCAAACTCTGCAGGTCAAGTCAAGTAATAAGGGTATACGCCTTAGGGCTGCTACTTTATGGGAAATGAAGAAGCTAAGGCATGTGAATATATACAGTTTTCAGGTGGTATGGGAAGACATTAATGACGAAGGAGGTTTTAAAACAAGTATGCTAGAGAACATGAAGACTTTTCGCACTAGCAATGTACGGCTGGATAATATGAATGCAAGGTTGTGGTGGAGGTTTCCGAATCTTGAAGAACTCGGCCTCAAGGTTGAAGATGAACCTAAGTTTCCTTTGTTTCCAGTACCAGAAGTTCATACTCGCATTCATTCTCTTTCTCTGTCGTTACCTTCAATGAAATTCTTAGATTCAGTTGGATGGGAGAGGTATTTTGAGTTCCCTTCTAATATTAGGCATTTGGACCTTGGCGGCTGTTTGTTGACGGAAGAAATGGCTTTAAACATTGCAAGATTGAAGAAGCTTGAGAGTCTCAAATTATTTTATGGATTAACTTTAGGGAGATCAATGAGCTTATGCTGGGATGTGACAAATGTGGAGTTCCCTGCACTCAAATACTTGACATTATGCCGTGTGAAGATGAAAGAATGGGAAGCTTCAGAGGAATCCTTTCCTGTGCTTGAGAAGCTAGTTATAATAGGAGGTTTCATCACGGAGATGCCTCCTAGCTTTGCGGATATTCCAACACTACAACTTATTCAACTGATTGACTGCAAGGACTCCCTAGGTGTTTCAGTTATGAATATCAAAAGAGAGATTGAAGAAAACACAGGATGTGACAATCTCCGTGTTCTAATGGAAAAACATAAATAAGAGGTCATTTGGTGGAAAGATTAACAACACAGAGATTAGTGATTAGTAGTGCAAAGTTTATTTTTATCAAGTGTTTGGTTCATTTTTTTTCTGTCTCATCTTGTGTTTGGATAAAAAGTTTCTTCCCAATTATACCCTTGAATTATTAAGTAAATGGATCAAGGTAGAAAATTGCCGGACAATATTATTTTTTCATAACCTTCTAAACTAGCTATGAGAAGAACAATTTACTTGTTTAGTTTGTTATTTTTTCACTTGAATTATTTGAGTATAAATAATTGTCATCCTAATAAATTGATCACTCACAAAATGTCATTTTTCAAATTAAAAGATATAAACAATCTACTTTTAAAATCGAAAAAACGGTCATTAGTAAAAATGAATAAACCATCTAAATGTACACATAAAATTGGGTTAGAGTTTTAATATGCATATAAATTTTTAAATTGTTTAAAATACAAATAATTAGAAATCATTCATATATATACACATTCAATTTAGACTACAAACTTCATATACAATTAAACAGCACAGATTTTAATTTTGTATTGGATTTATTAGTAACAAACAACTTTCTCTAAATAATTTGTAAGTTAATTTATTTAAATAAATTTACTAATACAAATATAAATCATATTATGACTATGAACATCGAAAAAGATAGAGAAGAAAACACTGGATGCGATAGTCTCCAGGTTAGCCATACTACGTGGTGAAGATCGTCCAAAATCATATAATAAGTCTAATCTTCCTTCCCGAAGATGAGAGATAAACCTTCCTTTTGGCATCGTTGCATTACCATTAATTCCATGTCCGAAAAATGGAGTAACAAAATCTCTGTCCAGCACTCAACATGTTATGACTTGTCACTACTAGCTAAAACAACTGTGAATACCTTCAGATAGATAACTTTATAATTTCGAATTTAGAGAACCTTTAACTAGTAAGTACTGCCCGCAAGAGCATGAGCAGATTACCACAAAATGTTCACTCAAAATATAATAGAGGCTGTGGGTTTACCTGCTGGGGATTCCAAAAAAAGAAAAAAAAAAAAACATGACCAATAGCTAGTAAAAGCTTGTTTATTCAGTGCAATAAAAATAATTTTTAGCGGCATTAAATATTAACACTAATAAAGAGTGCTTAAGTCTTTACCGGCATTAGTTAAGTGTCACTAGAACTAATGTCGCTAAAGGCTTTAGGAACATATACAAAGAGTGACAATTACCGCTAAAAATATATATTTAGCGACAATTAAAAATGAAATGCCGCTAATGGTCATTTTTGTTGTAGTGAGTGAAGATTCTTGGGACCTTAAACCACTTCTTTATTGCAAATTATCTTGATTAGTTCTCATCACTTGTATTGATCATTATTAATCATACCTCTGAGTGTGCACATTACTTTAGATTTAGAATATATAATCATATTTAAGTTGATTTTTTATTCTAAATTCTTTCTTAACCAAGTCTTACTATAATCCTTTTATTCAAGCACGACCAACAATTAATTGTATTAACTCTAAACCAGAAGTTGACATACCATAAAATTTATTTTTGCAAGTGGAAAATCAAATGGTGCTAATAGGTTCTTAGATTTGACACATGAAGGATTGATAACACAACCACGCCAGCCTTCATTTATGCTTTAATTGAGTGTTACAAAATCACCAAAATCATGGAAAAAGGGATAATCTCATATATCATCATAATGGTGACAAAATGGGCGAGTTGGGTTAAATTTGGGCGGGTTCAAACTGGATTAACATAAAATGGAAAATAATTCAATACACCCATATTTGATATGGGTAAAAATGAATTGGGGAACAAATGGTTGGGTAAAATACTAATTTACCCATATCTACTTAAGTATTCAACACGGAGAAATATTGTAATCTTTTTTAGATGAAAAATGTTGAAAATGCTTCATTTAGTTTTATTGTATCATAAATATAAAATAAATTTATAATTAATTAATGTTATATCAAGGGGAACATATTCTTAATATCAAAGTAGATGAATATTTGCATTTTAGGACTAAAACATGTTTAATACACTTTAAACAATGTCAATACTAATGCATGATTTGTTTATACTAAACTATTATTTATCATCCAATATAAAACTAAACAAATAAAAGAATATAATTATAATTAACAAAAAAAATGTACATTTAAAATATATTTTTTTGGAGGCCAAAGACTTCACCTTTAAGAGAAAAATAATGTTTTATAGAAGAACATAAAAAGGTTAGGGAATATACACACGTACCATCCTAGACTATGACTGAAATTTCAGAGACACGCCTTAACTAAACTAGGGTCCTATTACCCCCTCAACTTATTTTTTTTTTTTGTAATTTTTACACTTTTTTGGCTTATGTGACATCCAAAATACTTCACACGCGCCTCAATTGCGTGGATTCATAGAATTGATGGGGTAATAGGACCTTAGTTTAATTAAGGCGTGTCTCTAAGATTTCGGTCATAATTCAGGAGGTACTTATGCATTTTCCCAAAAGGTCACAATATTTTTGGGAGAAAACAGTCAAAAGACTCCCTAATCCATATTAGAAATTTCAACTACACACTTTAACTTTATGAGAGTCCTATCATCCATGAAGTGTTTAAAACTAAAATTTATATTTTCTTGAATGCTTAGCTGTCAAAGAGAGTGTATTTAACTCTGTTTGAGAGAGTGAACACAAAAATAAATATTAAAATTTTATTTTTAATAGCTCTTTTTAAAATATATGTATTTTTATTTATTTTTTCTTATCTATTGTTTTTCTTCTCCATAGCAACCAAATTCCTTAACCGAATTCACCATTATTGATTGTACACAAACTTTTAAACTCTCATGTAAAAAATTTTAAGAACCAATCAATTCAATTGAAGATAAAATGACATGCATTTATATCATCCAAAAAGGAGATCTTGATCGGAGTTGAAAAAACTAATCAAATTGGGTTTACATCAAATTCAATTGAACTCGCAAATGAGAATGCTTTTTTATTTATTTATGGGAAAATACCCAAGTACCCCCTCAACCTATGCCCGAAATCTCAAAGACACACTTATACTATACTAAGGTCCTATTACCCTCCTGAACTTATTTTATATGTAATTTTCTAGCCCTTTTTAGCCTACGTGGCACTAGTTCGAAAAAAATCAATCATCGTTAGGCCCACAAGATAGTGCCACGTAAGCTAAAAAGGGGTAAAAAATTATTAATAAAATAAGTTCAGGATGGTAATAGGACCTTAGTATAGTATAAGTGTGTCTCTAAGATTTCGGTCATAGGTTGAGGGGGTACTTATGCATTATCCCTTTATTTATGGATCCTTTAATTATCAATCTCAAATTTCTATTGACCTCCATTAATGGCATTGTTACTGCCTTCATTCGTTCTCCATCTTTCCTTACTTTTTTGAGTGTGTATTCGTTCTCCATCTTCGACAAGCAAAACTCGAATATTGCTTGACAAACTCTTGCTATCAATATTTATCTTTGATCCTCACAATTTAACAGGAATTCAAAAGAATAAGGGGAAGAATTTACTTCAGGAATTTGAAGAAATTGGGAGAGTATAGGAAAAAGTGAAAAAGAATTATTAAAAAATTGATAAAAAATAATAAATTAATCAATTTCCACCGGTCAAATGTGTGAAGTTCACATGTCAAGATAAATCTGGTTGTGGCTTTTTAAGGATGTAATTATTACAGTTTTAAACAGTTCAGGTGGGTGATAGGACTCTCGTAAAGTTAAAGTGTGTAGTTGGAAATGTGGATATAGATTAAGGGGCTTTAAATTTTCTCATATTTTTGGTGATATCATGAATTTTGAGTGAATAAAAATTAGAAGTTTAATCATTTGGCTAATCCATATTTTACCCATATTTTTATGGGTTGAATATGTATATATTTTACTGTTCTGAAAAGTCACTCACCTAATCCATTAAAATATTGACGAATTGAACGAATTACTAAAATATGAGTTCATTTTACCTCCAGAAGATCATTATAATGATTTTTTCAATTAATCTTTCGTTGTCTTTGAACCAAATATGTAAAACTTTTGCATTGTATTCTATCATTGACCCACTCATATAATAGGGACTATTTTCGTCATGACCTAGATTTAAATTTGAATGGTTCTGACTTCTGACTTAGGATCATTATTAATCATGCATGTGAATGTGCACATTACTCTTTAGATCCAGAATACATTATCTTAACTAAGTTGACTTTTTATTCTACAGTATTGCTTAAAGCAAAGTGTTACTCACCAACAATACATTAATATAAATGTTATTTTAGTCATTTTATCTATTATTATCCTCGCGTTCAACATTTATTCAAACTATTCACCATCAATTAAGTAAATTTTCTTTTGTTTGTACTTTAGTAATACCTGACCAACCGATACACGAAAGATATTCACTCATGTTATAAGATTTAGGTGTATTTAAGTCTAGTTAGTCAAGTAGATGAGTGTTTTAAGGCTATTAATAGTTTGAAATGAAACTAATAATTTGTGTCGAATTAAGGGGCGTTTTCAATTTTTCTCTTTTTATTTATTTACTTATTCCGTTTGTCCAACCATAGTTGTCCATTACTGACTTGACATACATCTTAAGAAACAAATAAAATTTAATGCTTTCAGAAAAATATTAGATACAGAACACGTATTTAATAGCAAAGATAAAATAAATACAAAAAGATAAATTATCTTTTAATTTCTAAAGTGGATAACTCCCTCCTCCCCATTTTATATGTCAACTTTCGGATTTCAAGATTCAGATAAGTCTATCTTTGACCGTAAATTATTCATAGATCTTTTAAACATTCTAAAATATCAATTAGTGTGACTTATAGTACTTTAATATATAAAAAAAAAAATTAAAGATTTCATGCGTAAATTTCTGATCAAACTTAAACTGTTTGACTCTAAAAAAATACAATGTGTCATATAAACTGTGACAAAGGGAATAATGAACAGGGAATAGTTGATATCCCACAGCAACTATATATTTGTATCATTCTTCAAGATTGAAGTCCACCATTGTCTCCTATAATACAACTCTCTCTCATTTTATATTTCTGTTACCATCACCTTTTGGACCAATTGATCTCTCATTTGTTGCCACCCTCATCAACAACACAAGGTGAGCATCCTTTTTAAGTTCTT